GGAACAAGGGTCGACTCAGGAGTAAAGGCACAGATGGACAGTGAATGGCCCCCTCTCGTAGGGAATAAAGAGAGCAAAAGGGGAGTAGTGTTTGCAGGAGTAGTGTTTAATCAGTGTGAAGATTTGCTTGTGACTTTTAGAGACTCCTTGCCAAGTATTTTCTTGTATAGCATTGTGCTTGGAAGCTATTGGCCTGGTAACTCTCCAAGCCTGATAAGGTCTGTGGTTGTAATTCACTTGAAAGACTGTTTGCTGGGACTTTGCTGGATGTGAATGATAGAAATTCACATTAGCCTAATAAAAAGGGGTTTTGACGGGACAAGGAGTCTCCTTCATGATTTTGTGAAGCCTAGGTCAGAACACAACCAAACCACTCCCCTTTCCTCCTATTTATTCCCCAGCCAGGGAGGAACCATTCAGCTCCATGTTTGTTATGGTTCCCAAGCCAGCTCATTGTCCTCCGTTGTTCACCTATCTGCTCTGTGCAGGGCCCAGCTGTTTCTCATCCTCACTCATCTCTGACTCCAAAAGTAGCTGCCTCTCTGGCTGGGGAATGCTGGACATTCCTGGCTCTATCTCTGTGTCCGATGCTGTGCATCCATCAGATTCTTCCCCAAGCTCCAGAACTGGCCCAAGTTCTTTCTCAACCTCCTCATTGTCCAAATCTGCCACCAGCTCCACTAGCAGCTGGTGGGCCACAACATCAATGACAATGTCTTTGGACCATGCAGCCAACCAGCATACCAACTCTCAAAACTCCTGTATGTAGGTGGCCAATGACGTGGTCTTCATCTGGATCGTAGCCTTGCACTCAGCCAGTGGATTCTTTAATCATTGGCGAAGGGCTGCCATAAAATGGTTATAGTTCTGCAGTTGGGGGGCATTGTCATTGTGGAGGGAGACCATCCACTCTGCCGCCGCCCCCTTCAGGGTCATGATTATTCATCTTATCCAGGCTTCTGCCATCTCTACTTTGGCTCCATACTCCTGCGTGTAGTTCCAGATTTGCATCAGGAAGAACCGCAATTGCTCAGGGTCACCCCCATACTTAACCCCCAAGACTGGGACCTTTGGGGCTGGTGCCTTCAAGGAGCAGTCCCTGCAGGTGGAGTGGCTTGTGTAGCTAGGTCTGAGGTGACCCAGGAACCTTGAGAAGCTTTCTGTGCAAGAGATTCTTGGGGTCTTCAACTCCCACTAACCTACTATATCAGGAACAGGGCCTGGTTCAGCATGGCTTCCTCTGGGCTTCTCTCCAAGGGGTGGTTCCCTTTGCCCTTTGCTCCTCACCCACCTGAGCTTGATGGGCTTCTCGCTGAAGTCCAGTTCCTCTCACTATTCTGCCTTGCCTTGAGCTCAGTGTGGTCTAGTGGGGGAGTCGGCCATAGCTCCAGTTACCTCCAGCTCACTCTTGTTGTTGGACATTGGAAGCTTGATCCCCACGTAGATTTCTGTCTCCAGGTTGACCATTAAAGCAGAGCTTGCTTAATGTCAGGGCTGCCTCTGTTCATTTCCTAGAAAAGAAAAATCCTTGGTTCCAAAAGTACTTTTATGAGGAACAAGCCAAAAGCAGACAGTTTCAAGCAAGTTCTGAGGCAAAGAGTGGGAACACAGCATCTTGAAACACAGTATAAAGCCCAACCCCCTTGTAGCTAAGCAACCGGAGGCCACCGCATACCAGAGCCAATGGACCTGGTCTTGGAGATAACCACAGTTGCAAAGCTGCAATGTAAACCTCTTTATAGTTCCCTATTCTATGGGAGCAAGCAACAGGCTGGCTGACAGTGACTTGATTCTCAATTCCAGACCTCTGAATTACATACCACATATGTTGAACCTGGTCTGGGAAACATAAACTTGAAAGAAGTTGAAAATTGTGTTTAATTGCTGCAGGATCTTGCAGACTTGCGGGGGGGGGGGGGGGGGAGAATAAAACTTGCCAATTTTAGTAAAAGAATTAAAACACATTAAACCTGTTAAATATGGTTTCAGCTTGAATATTGCTTGCTACATATTTGAATGTAAAATAGCTCAGGTATGCATTTTTCAAAGAAGGAAGTAACTGATGCCCCAGCCTAAGCTAAGCAAGAACATTCTTTGCTGCATGGTCAAAAGATTTGTTGTTAGTACCTGCAAACTGTTTTTCAGACTAAAGTTTATATATTTCTACACAAATAGAAACAAATTTCTGTGAATATGTTCACAGGGAAATAATTGCTTAATAATTATATAATAAATATATAACCTTTTTGGCTTTCAGTTTAAAAATAAGTTTTAAGAATAATTATTTATATATAGAAACCTGATGTGTACAATATTAATTATTAGATACTCTCTTGTAATTTTTATATTCTGTATTTTTGTATTATAAAATAATATTTAAAATATTATTTCAATCAATCTTGTGAGGATTTTATGTAAATATGTTTTTTATTCAAACTCATCTGTCAAAGGTATTTTTTCTTTTTTGAATAAAGTGAATACCTATGTCGCTTATTAATCCTTTTGAGTTAAAAGTTTCCACGTGCAAACATATAGCAATAATTTCTCACTGTTCTTTGTTCTGAAAAGAAGTGCTTTCTATATATACACAATATTTTCTTTTAAAATGCATGTGTCCTTTATAATTGTCATTTCATTTGTATAAGCTAATTTAGCTTATACTAGACCTATATATTATATCTTAGGGATTTCATCTCATCATATTATTTTTACGGCATGTTCAGGTAAGCAGGAAAGGCCCTCTTCAAGAATTTTTCCATTCTGTGATAACAACTAGCAGGTATTAAATTCATTGCTTTATCCTACCTAGTGTGCAAGTAAGTGATAAACTAGTAACTGAACTGTTTTACTTTTTGTTCAAAGGAGGGATACACATAATTGACTGCGTACCTATATAAAAATAGTTTATATACATAGAAAATAAGAAATCAAGCAGAAAAAGTAGATCCTATTGATTTATATTTAAAAAGTGTAGCATTTATGGGATGGAAATGACCATTCCACAAAGGAATGCATCATTTCATAGTTAAAGTACTGGACTAAATCTCCAGGCTACTGGAGAACTTCTATTGTGGTCTATGCGTATAAAAATATTGGCCTAAATCAGGGGTGTCAAACTCAAAGCCCGGGGGCTGGATTTGGTCCAGGGTTGCTTAGATCTGGTCCATGGGGCTGCCCTAGAAACAGCAGAAGACAGGCCTGTGGTGCCTCTGCAAGTGAAAATGGAGCTCAGGAGGACTGTATGCAGCCCTCTCGAGCTTCATTTTTGCTGGCAGATGGTTGCAGGAGGCCATTGCAGCCAAAATGAAGCTTGGAAACCCGTTTTCACTGGCAGACCTCTCAGGCCACTACAGGCACCCCTGACACAAGTGATGTCAAGCTTGGCAACACCCACCCTGGCCATGCCCATCCCATCCCCCCAAAGTCAAAAACAACCCTGATGCAGCCCTCAATGAAATCAAGTTTGACACCCCTAGTCTAAATAAACAGCAGGAGTATTCTGGCAGCTTAAGTAATTGTTTGAAAAGTAGAGGGTGAGTGCACAATGATTAAATGTGTTCTAATATCCTACAGTATTAACAATGATGCTGAGATACAAATGTTGCATACAGCTGTTTGTGAAGAACTCTGTTTAATTGGATCCAAAGTCCAGTGTTTCTCAACTTTGGCCACTTTAAGACATGAACTTCAACTCAGGGGTAGGATGCTACCGGTTCAGCCCGGTTTTATGGAACCTCTAGCTGTGAAGAGTAGCTGACACCGAACCGGTTCGGTGTTTGGCTCACCCGCCTGCCCGGGCTCTAGGCTGTCCTTTATTTTATTCCCTGCTTTTCCCTCCTCCGCTGCTTTGCGCAGCACAGCTGAGGTTGAAAAAGCAGGAAACGAGGATTTTCAAATGCTGCGCATCCAAGCGCAGCGCTTGTCAGCTATCCAAGCAGCACAGCTGATTTCTTGCAAACGCTGCACACACGTAGTTCAGAGAACAGGCAAATTGCTCCACTGGCTGGACCCACCCCTCCCCGCCCACTCATTCATTACCTGGCATGCGAGCCATCCAACCTGCCTGGTTTGGTAAGCTGCTATTTTTCCTTCCCCCCCTCCCCCAACCATCAGCTGTTCTGCTCTGCCAGGAGATTTAGATTAGCTAGAAAGCAGGAAATCCTTGGATTTCTTGCTTTCTAGCTAATCTAAAAGCAGAGCCGAACCTTCCTTAGGACTGAAGCTTCTGCTTTGCAGTGCAGACTCAGGTAGCCTATTGGAGATAGATAGATCTCTAAATGAATCTGTGATTCTGTGAGCAACTCAATCTACCTGCCTGCTTTGCCTGCTTTTGGGTAAAAGTTGCTCTTTTTGAAATAAATATTCAATATTTACATACATGGTGTGTTGTGAGTTAACTTTGTGAGTTTGCTTGCAAGCGCATTTTATGTGACAGACTCAGGTAGTCGATCGGAGAGATAGATAGATAGATCTCTAAGTTAATCTGTGATTCTGTGAGCAACTCAATCTGCCTGCCTGCTTTGCCTGATTTTGGGTAAAAGTTGCTCTTTTTTTATAAAAAAATCAATATTTACATAAATATTTATAATATTTACATACAAGGCATACCCACCCAGTCACATGACCACCAAGCCACACCCACAAATTAGGCCACACCCACAGAACCAGTTGTTAAGAAATTTGAATCCTACCCCTGCTTCAACTCATGCTACCTGGGGAATTCTGGGAGTTGGTCCACATGTCTTAAAGTGACTAAGACTGAGAAACATTGATTTAGACTTAACAATGCATCCTGCAGTAGGCAACCAAATTTATGAAAAGAGAAAGGAGCCTAGTTTACAATCATCCTGTTTAATCATCCACAGTAACAAATTATCTTAATTTACTCTACATTTTCTATAGTTAAAGAATAGCTAATATTTTGTAAAAGTTAGGTTACTTTTTTCTTTTTTAATGCTCTTATGCCTTAATTTACCTCAATTATTTTATTTGTAATTTAGGTAGCTGTGATACTATCCCAGAGTCCGATTTTGAGGAAAGACCAGCCACACAAAACTCATCAATGTTTGTCAATGACAGGAATGTGGATAAGCAAGATAACAAACCCGGTAAGATGAATGAATTTTCATAGGGTAATTATCATAAAAATGTTTCATTATGTTTGCATGAAGACTAATAGAACTTATTGATTTTCAAAGACATATACTTGTGTGTGTGGGTTCACACACACACACACACACACACACACACACACACATATATTCGTAGATTTTCACGGGTACAGGTATGCAGGTCTTGGCATGCAACACAGCCAACCTCTCCACCAGCAGCTCCGATCACGCTTTGCTCGCACAAGCACGAAGCCGAAAGCACCAGCCTGAAGATGGCGAGTGGGACCTCGTCGAAACGTCGCCAAGATACTCTCAATCTTACACAGGAAAAGACCCGAACAAGCCAGGTTTGGCAGCATGACACACATGATTAAAAAGAACCCAATACACAAGCCTGAGGATGGCAGATAAGATTCTGCCAAAACGTCGCTATAATTTTAAAAGCACAAATATTAAGATGTGGGAAAATACCTGAAGAAACCTAAATACCATACATATAAATACCCGCAAAAACATAAGAGAATATATGTGTGTGTGTGTGTATCTCCAAGCAAGCAATGATGAGTCTAGGTTTCTCAAGGCCTTTTGTATAAGATTCTTAGAATTAACCTCACATCTAGAGTTGGTCCCTTCTTCCTAGTCTCTCTAGTATCTTTCAGTATTAACTGCCTACTCATTTTGGACAAAATTCATGCTCTCCAAGGTGTTCTGTCTTGTAAAGCAAGTTCTCAATCCAAGGGTATTCTTAGTCTCATAGCTTGTCTGTAGAGCAGATGGAGATCATAGTGGGTTGCAGCCATTCCTGAACTAAGGCTTTATTTATGATAATTCATGCCTTTCTTACTTCCTAAATGAAATAAACTTGTTTTATGAGAAACTGTCTTTAAACCCACACAGAAGCCATAGCTGATCGGGAATGCAATACTCTTAAGTGGTAATGGCATATCAGAGCTTATTTTTGTAACATTGTTTGAATTGCACTAGATGCTGGCTGGCTAGTAGGTTTTTAATATTCTTTATGGCCCAGGATCTGGGTATCTATTAAATCACTTTATTCAAGTTGCTTCTGCCCAAACAGCAAGATTCAGGGGGAAAGATATACTGCAGATTCTGATCCTTAATGAATGATGCTATCAAATATTTTGAACACTGCACCACTCATCTTTGAAACACTCACTGGAACACTCACTGGAACAATCCTTCTCTGGACCATTCTCTTCTTTAGAACACCCTTGAGAAAAGATTGGTTCTGAAAGTTTTTGGTGACAAATAAATGGTGAGAAATTTGGGGATAGTTGATTAAGGATTTTGATGTTGGAGTGGGGGTTTTTGTTGTTGTTAATTTTCACTTTCATAATTTATTGTATTTCAGTCTTATTGATGGAATAAGGAGTTGTTATTGAGTAGAATAGCATACCAATAGTCATCAACATCAGTTCATTCAGCAATTATTCAAAATTACAATGGTGAATGAAGAGACTTATGGACCCTGCCAAAGTTACAGAAATTACATTCAGGAAGAAGAGCTGGCCAATCCACTCCTCAGCCTCTCTATAGAGTTTGGAGACCAGGTGACTCCATCCCAGAGGTGGGTATCATTTTAGGGTAGCCATAGTTTATTGTAGCTACTCCCAAAATGACATCCACCTCCAGGATGGTGCCATGTGGCCTCCCTGTAGGAAGGCGATGGGTGGGTCATCTAGTTCCACAAGGAAATTTATAGAAAAGGTAAGTGACTGAACCATGATGGGGGTTGGGGGAGACCCAATAGGACAAAAGAAGGCCCAGGTCTGTGGAGGATCCAGTGAAGTGAAAAGCAGAGTATAGAGGGCCTCAGATGTGGAGAAACCATGGGAGGACAGGACAAGCCATGTGTGAGCTGGGAAGGTACTGCAGTACAGGTCTGAGCCTGGTTTGGGGGTCAGGGTGTGTAGCAGCTGGTGATGCAGCAACAAGAGAATAATCAGGGAAGCCATTGAAATAGAGAAACACCCCCATAACATGAATAAACGGGATGATACCTCCCGCCTACCAGACATCTGGAAACTAGCCCTTATCAACAAACAACCAGACTCAAACCCAAACCCATCCCATAGACGAAAGGCAACCACCGTCCAGAAACCAGACCACGTCTGCATCACCAGCTGCCACACACCCCAAACCCCAAACCAAGCAAACTGACACACACCATAAACACATAGCCAGGCCTCAAACTCAGAGCAAAACCAAAACCCGGAATGCCGCATCACAGCCACCTGCTCAGGATATGACATCACGGAACTCAGGAGGTTACATCACAAAACCTCAGGATGTTACAACACAGCCAACGACCCAGGAGATTACAGCACAAGACCCAGAATTTCACAACAATAGAACTCAGAAGGTCATCACACAGCCCATTACCCAGGTCGTTACAACACAGGAGGCTGATAGACACACAGCCAATACCTCAGCCACACATGTTCTTACGAAAAAGCCAACCAATCTGCAAACACCAACTCCCATCAACCAATCAAGAAATAACAACACAGACTTCCGGTTTGTAATGCTTCGGCAGCGGCAGGAATCCGCGATCGTGCATGGTTTCTGCTGCGCTCACTGCTGGAATTCCCCCCGATCCAGCCGGATTTGGGGGCTAATAGTTACCCCGTAGAGGTAACTGAAGATCAGGGAGAACCAGCAGGGGTTCGGGGGAATCACAACCCCCCTCCTCAGCTGGCTTAACTCCCTTTTCCGAAGCCACAAAGAAGCTTGCATCCAGATAAGAACGTGCAGGAGGAAGCTGAAAAAGTGAAAGTTCTGGCTAACCGGATAATAAGTACCATTTAAATACCCTGGAATTTTAATTTTGTCAAAGATATATCGTTCCCAAAGAAGATTGGGAAAAGCGGCGGATGAAAGTTAAAAGGGAAAGTTTGTTTTTCTCACTCTCCCTTCCTTACGGTGATAGCAGATGGAAATCGAAAAATCCGTTCTGGCACCAGCAGGTAACTAAATTTGAAAGTTAAAGCCAAGGGGACATTAAAGATTTCTGAACATTGAAAAAGATTTTTTTTTTTTTTTACTCTTTGCTATAAGTGGGAAGGGAGAGGAAAAGAATTAACATTAAGATTTTTTGCTGGAGGAGGCTGCTTATAAGACTAGAGTTAAATTTTAACAAGACTTCTAAAAGATACATTTTGGAACTTTACAATTGAACTGTACCCCAGGAAGAGAAAGTATAAAAAGAAGAAAGTGCTAAATGAAACAGATTGTGTGTATTTGGACTGCTTGGTGACTTTGGGACCTTTGGAAACTATTATTTGAAAGACTAAAAACTTTTGGGTTGTTTTAAAAACTTTTTCATTATGGCATTACTTGTTGATGAATTGAAAATGGAATTCAAAAAGCTAAAAGAAGAGGAACAAGAAGGGAAGGGCTCTTCTGGATCTGTTTTTCATTTTTTAGAAATGGTGATTTCTACCTATCAGCAATTACAAGAACAAGAAGGCTGGGATGAAGAAGAAGAAGCCATCTTTAATGAACAAACAACTTTAGTTGGGGAAGAAAAGGGAAAGAGGGGAAAGAGAATGGAGAATTTATCAGCAAAATATCTGGAGATACCTGGCATTTTAACCTCATCTCGCCTCCCGACCGCTCGCTTGCCTGGCCTCCTGAGGGGGGGAAAAGCATTTCATTTGATGGCTGGCACTGCAGGAGGAGAGCCCCTTCCTCAGCCACCATTACATGTCATAAGCCTTCTTGCCCTTCTTTGCCAGAATGAGCAAAGCGACTCAGAGGCAAAGTGGGCAGAGATGGGAATAGGACCAGCCTGCACCGCGCTCACCACGCTATCGCAATCCTCCTCACGCTGAAGCCACTGGGGTGAGGGGAGAAAGGAGTGCGCCCAGAAGACTAGAGAGCTTCAATTAATGAGCGTGCGGCAACCTGAGGACAGCAGCCACTTGGGAGGGCTCCCCACGGAGGCATGCTCTGGCATTACTGGGGTGTGGGTGCTCTCAAGAGTGATGGCGGGCTCGGGTGAGTGCCAACTGTGGGGAGAGAATCCTGGGAGAAGTGGTCCCTTGGAGGAAGCAGGGAGGGAAAAAAAGGCAGTGGGAAGCCCAAGCACACAGTTTCTTCTCCCATGGCAGCTGTGTCCGGCATCCCTGTGTTGCAAGCTCTGCGGCTGGAGCTGAGTTTAGTTTAGTTTAGTTTATTGTCATTGCACCTCGTACAACAAAATTAAATACATCTTCAGTGTACATTATAACTATGAAAATAAACACAAACACACATCCTTCACATTCTATACACTGAATTGAAAACCCCGATATTTCATTAATATTACACTATACCAAAAAAAATCAATAGAGTTACTGCCCTGGGACAGAAGCTGTTTTTCAGCCTTTTTATCCTTGTTTTTATTATCCTGTACCGTCTGCCAGAAGGTAATAGTTCAAAAAAAGGGTGCCCAGGATGAGATAGATTTTTGAGAATGTTTTGAACTTTCTTAAGGCAGCGGGAGCTATAAAGGGATGAGGAGTGCAGCACTGCTCCTCAGATGGCACCAGAGGTGGTATTCAGCAGGTTCTGACCAGTTCTGGAGAACCGGGTAGTGGAAATTTTGAGTAGTTTGGAGAACCGGCAAATACCACCTCTGATTGGAGATTTTACAGTATCCTTCCCCTGCCACGCCCACCAAGCCATGTCCACAGAACCAGTAGTAAAAAAATTTGAATCCCACCACTGGATGGCACATTTGTTTTCCCTTCTCAGCTGGAATGGATCATTCAGACTCTCAGGCACTGGGGCATATTGCCGATGGAGGAGGTAGTGCTGTCACCTACATGGCTGCTTATATTGCTTTCCTAAAACCATAATGCCACCACTACCACCAACACCCCTCCTCCTCTTCCTGTCCTCGCAACTTGCCAAGAATTCAATCTGAAGTCATTCAGTTGAATCTTCACCTTAGAGCTGATGAGACTGCTTACTATATTGGAAGGACAGAGTGA